TGATCAAACATATTAATACAGAATCAATTTTTGTTGATCATTTAACTAAGTGACTGAGACCTGTAACTTTTAAGAAACATGTTGACAACATGGGCATTTTTGGGTCTTTTGATGTACTTGGTGAGTGTGAATTTATTTATGTGTTAAGAACTTTAGTATTGATTTAATTTCATATGTGATATTTGATACTTATTATGGTTGAGATACATCTATTTAATGAAAAATAAATATTTGATGATTATCTTTATTGTTAACATGATATTCTTATTGTGTTATATGTGCATACATTTATGACATATTATTTTATACAAAATCTTAAGACTTGGTGTATGTTTTAAGTATGATTGTTTTGTCAATTGAGTATGTCTCTGATTACACAATTTGAAAAAATCTTATGATTTTAAGTTTGGAGACATACTAGCTTATTGTTGAAACTAATGAATTTCTCTAGCTTATTGTTGAACCATGTTATTAAAAAGAAATAATTTGGAAGACTGACAATGAAAATAACGTGTTTATTAAATCACATATTGAAATGTTATTTTCTTGTTACACTACCACATCTTGATCCATATCAATAGAATTATTATTTTTTGTAATCACGAATTGGTCATATGTCAATAAAAGATGTAAAGACCGTCATGGTTCGAAAATAATAATTTTATTAGACCGGATCGTATTTGAGATGTTGTCTCGGGACCATATTATTTTTATTGTGGCCACATTGAGTTTTGTTTGATTAGCCCGAGAGTTGTTTTTGAAATATGTATATATATAATTTTATTTTATTTTTAAATGACTACAATTAATGTTGTCCAAGTGGGTGAATGTTGGAATTTTTCCTATATTGAACTTTCATTAATTGATAGTTAATTTTGTTTGTGAAAAACGGACTGAATTTATGGTCCAATGATATGAGCCCAATATTATTAAATGATCTATTTTGATGAGTTTATGTACATCTTTTAATTGATGTGGTTGAGACGGTTACGTGTATGCCTTAATTTAATTATAGTTCGTAATGGGAGAGCCTTTTAGATTGCATTATAAATAGCAGATTAGGTCTCCTCTCCACTTCATAACCCTAATTTGGCTTGTCCTATTGAGAACCGCCTATTATTTTGAAGAAAGAGAGGAAGACCTTACCTTTTCACGAAAGAAATTCGGAAATCCAATATCAGAACTCATATAGATATATTCTAAATCTTGTATATGATCTAAATCTTGAATTTAGGAGTTCTAAATTTTATACATGAATCATTAAAATTTCTTACATATTATAATTCTAAATAGTTAATATTTGAGATGGGCTAAATAAATTTAGGAGTCAAAATCCAATCAAATACATATTCCAAAAAGAGCCTAAATTAAAATTTAAAAATAGGATCGTTAATTGAGCCGAACTTTACAAGTTCGAGCCGAACTTATCGGCTTGCTTTTTTAAAGTAACCTAAACAATGATTAATTTTGACTTGTTTAAAAAATTAGTCAAGCCTAAATTAAATCAATCTTTTCGAGCTTAATTATTTTACACAATTTAAATGATCCAAATTTTGAGAAATCGATCTAAATCTTTTAGACTCATTTTCTAAAAGATCTTAGACCACGTTAAATTTTTTGTAAATTAACTTTGAATAGTTTGGCTCAATTATTAATTTTATTTAAAGGTACAGTTATTTCTCTCTTCTCTTAATAAATATTGTGCTCCTTTTAAGAAAAATTTCAAACATCACCATCACCATCACTTCAAAGTCAACAAGTTCACCTCCTCCTCCCCCGGGTGCGGGCCGCCTTCCCCCTCCTTTGTCTCTCTATGTCTATACATCCCACAGAAATGAAACAAAATCTCTCTCTCTCTCTCTCTCTCCAGATCAGAATACCTACTACACAAAAACAACAAAATAAATAAATTACCCATGCATTTATCTGTTCTCTTGCCATACGTTGTCGTTGGATTGAAAAGGTATTGAAGTTTTTTAACTAAGAGGTTTATTAATTTTTTTTATTCTAATTCAGTTTATTATCTATTTTGAAGGTTAGAGCTATTAGACAATTTGAAAGACAGACAAAGAGTTGTATAAAAACTCCTATTTATCAGATGCTATTGTTCCATTGTTATTGTACTTAGTAATAAAGTAGATTGTTAGATATAAATTTTTAGACTTTGAGTGTTGTTTTATTGAAATTAATAAAATCCTACTTATCATCAATTATGTTATAAGAATGATTAAGTGGATTAATCCTATTATCTATTAAAAATAATATCTTTGCAAAACTTGAATGTAAAAGCTTAATCACTAAATTTACGTCACAACAAGGTGGAAATTATTATTTTTTAGTAAAATTTTGATCATACAATATATACTTTTAATAAATTTTAAACAAACCCGTTTAAAACTTCCGTTTGGGCCCTCCATTATATCAAGCCGACAATCTACTAATTGCTCAACNAAGCTTGTTTATAAGAAAGTTCAAAGTCTTGAGATGATTGGTTACTCATATTAAGATTTTTCTGGGTGTCAGAATGATTTAAAATTTACTTTAGGATATATTTTCATATTAATTGGAGGAGCAATATCATGGAAGAGTGTTAAACAAACTCTCACAGCTTCTTTCACTGTGCAAGCTGAATTTGTAGCTTATTATGGAGCTGCAACACAAGTTATATGGTTAAAGAATTTTATTTCATGACTTATGATTGTTGATTCCATCTCTAGACCACTAATAATTTANTTGCTTCACCTCAATTGGACGTAAACCCCTGGCACGGAGCCGGGAGAGGTGGCCAACATATTCATAGGTATTAAATGTGGCTAGCTTAGAGTATCTCTAACCATGACTTAAATTTAGATTCAAATTTAAATTTAAATTTAAATAAAAAGTTTAATTTGGTATAGAGTACTCTAATGAACTTGGAACGTTTATTTACCCAAAAGATGCGTTGCAAGTTTTAGTTGGGTATTAGTCTTTCTAAGATTATGAATTATTGTCGACAACTTATTTTTTTAATACCCTTTACTTCTTAATATCCGTTACTAAGAGGAATCTTGTACATTNTATTCTAATGGTCTAAATATATGAAAATTAAATATCTTTATGTTAGGGATCTTGTGAAGAACGGTGACATTGTGATCAAACATATTAATACAGAATCAATTTTTGTTGATCATTTAACTAAGTGACTGAGACCTGTAACTTTTAAGAAACATGTTGACAACATGGGCATTTTTGGGTCTTTTGATGTACTTGGTGAGTGTGAATTTATTTATGTGTTAAGAACTTTAGTATTGATTTAATTTCATATGTGATATTTGATACTTATTATGGTTGAGATACATCTATTTAATGAAAAATAAATATTTGATGATTATCTTTATTGTTAACATGATATTCTTATTGTGTTATATGTGTATACATTTATGACATATTATTTTATACAAAATCTTAAGACTTGGTGTATGTTTTAAGTATGATTGTTTTGTCAATTGAGTATGTCTCTGATTACACAATTTGAAAAAATCTTATGATTTTAAGTTTGGAGACATACTAGCTTATTGTTGAAACTAATGAATTTCTCTAGCTTATTGTTGAACCATGTTATTAAAAAGAAATAATTTGGAAGACTGACAATGAAAATAACGTGTTTATTAAATCACATATTGAAATGTTATTTTCTTGTTACACTACCACATCTTGATCCATATCAATAGAATTATTATTTTTTGTAATCACGAATTGGTCATATGTCAATAAAAGATGTAAAGACCGTCATGGTTCGAAAATAATAATTTTATTAGACCGGATCGTATTTGAGATGTTGTCTCGGGACCATATTATTTTTATTGTGGCCACATTGAGTTTTGTTTGATTAGCCCGAGAGTTGTTTTTGAAATATGTATATATATAATTTTATTTTATTTTTAAATGACTACAATTAATGTTGTCCAAGTGGGTGAATGTTGGAATTTTTCCTATATTGAACTTTCATTAATTGATAGTTAATTTTGTTTGTGAAAAACGGACTGAATTTATGGTCCAATGATATGAGCCCAATATTATTAAATGATCTATTTTGATGAGTTTATGTACATCTTTTAATTGATGTGGTTGAGACGGTTACGTGTATGCCTTAATTTAATTATAGTTCGTAATGGGAGAGCCTTTTAGATTGCATTATAAATAGCAGATTAGGTCTCCTCTCCACTTCATAACCCTAATTTGGCTTGTCCTATTGAGAACCGCCTATTATTTTGAAGAAAGAGAGGAAGACCTTACCTTTTCACGAAAGAAATTCGGAAATCCAATATCAGAACTCATATAGATATATTCTAAATCTTGTATATGATCTAAATCTTGAATTTAGGAGTTCTAAATTTTATACATGAATCATTAAAATTTCTTACATATTATAATTCTAAATAGTTAATATTTGAGATGGGCTAAATAAATTTAGGAGTCAAAATCCAATCAAATACATATTCCAAAAAGAGCCTAAATTAAAATTTAAAAATAGGATCGTTAATTGAGCCGAACTTTACAAGTTCGAGCCGAACTTATCGGCTTGCTTTTTTAAAGTAACCTAAACAATGATTAATTTTGACTTGTTTAAAAAATGAGTCAAGCCTAAATTAAATCGATCTTTTCGAGCTTGATTATTTTACACAATGTAAATGATCCAAATTTTGAGAAATCGATCTAAATCTTTTAGACTCATTTTCTAAAAGATCTTAGACCACGTTAAATTTTTTGTAAATTAACTTTGAATAGTTTGGCTCAATTATTAATTTTATTTAAAGGTACAGTTATTTCTCTCTTCTCTTAATAAATATTGTGCTCCTTTTAAGAAAAATTTCAAACATCACCATCACCATCACTTCAAAGTCAACAAGTTCACCTCCTCCTCCCCCGGGTGCGGGCCGCCTTCCCCCTCCTTTGTCTCTCTATGTCTATACATCCCACAGAAATGAAACAAAATCTCTCTCTCTCTCTCTCTCTCCAGATCAGAATACCTACTACACAAAAACAACAAAATAAATAAATTACCCATGCATTTATCTGTTCTCTTGCCATACGTTGTCGTTGGATTGAAAAGGTATTGAAGTTTTTTAACTAAGAGGTTTATTAATTTTTTTTATTCTAATTCAGTTTATTATCTATTTTGAAGGTTAGAGCTATTAGACAATTTGAAAGACAGACAAAGAGTTGTATAAAAACTCCTATTTATCAGATGCTATTGTTCCATTGTTATTGTACTTAGTAATAAAGTAGATTGTTAGATATAAATTTTTAGACTTTGAGTGTTGTTTTATTGAAATTAATAAAATCCTACTTATCATCAATTATGTTATAAGAATGATTAAGTGGATTAATCCTATTATCTATTAAAAATAATATCTTTGCAAAACTTGAATGTAAAAGCTTAATCACTAAATTTACATCACAACAAGGTGGAAATTATTATTTTTTAGTAAAATTTTGATCATACAATATATACTTTTAATAAATTTTAAACAAACCCGTTTAAAACTTCCGTTTGGGCCCTCCATTATATCAAGCCGACAATCTACTAATTGCTCAACGAAAGCCAGAAGAAAAGTTGCAACAAATTCCCCTTGACTTAGGGAAATCGAGATTTCTTATTAGATATACATCCTACGTGTATATATGTACAGTCTAGTCCTCCTAATGCTTCACCTCAATTGGACCTAAACCCCTGGCACGGGGCCGGGAGAGGTGGCCAACATATTCATAGGTATTAAATGTGGCTAGCTTAGAGTATCTCCAACCATGACTTAAATTTAGATTCAAATTTAAATTTAAATTTAAATAAAAAGTTTGATTTGGTATAGAGTACTCTAATGGACTTGGAACGTTTATTTATCCAAAAGATGCGTTGCAAGTTTTAGTTGGGTATTAGTCTTTCTAAGATTATGAAATATTGTCGACAACTAATTTTTTTAATACCCTTTACTTCTTAATATCCGTTACTAAGAGGAATCTTGTACATTGGGTATGACAGTTTGAGCAGCTAGTTAAGCCTGCTAGCTTGTTTAATTAATTTCAAAGAATCTTTCTTCCTCTTTTTGGCTATTTGAATGTCTTCATCAGTGTACAAAAAGAAAATCTCTTTACAAGCACCAAGCAAACAAAATTCACAAGGAAGTAGCAATATTTATTTCCACAATAGACAATATAACTATCAATAAGTATATATTAACACAAAACCTGTTCAATTAAATCTTGTGAGCTAACAAATGTACCATGAAAACCATAGGGCACTCTAGTGGGTAACCTCACTGAGGCCACTTGCTTCATATTGGAAGCTTTCACTATCACCAACTCAGACATCTCTCTCCTCTCATCTCTCACAAAACTCATAACATATCCTTCATCTTCTTCCCCTTCTCCTCCTCCTTTTTTCTTGTCGGGCACGAAGCATGGCTCGCCGCCAAACTTTTGGTCACCATACAAAAATTTGGTCACTTCTCTAGTAACCAAATTGACCTTTGCGATGCCACTACACCTCGGCCAAGGCTCAGCTATGGCCATGTACACGTATCGGGTCTTTCGCCCAAGTCTTCGCTTGTTCACCTGCCCGGCTTCAAGGTTCATGCCGGAGACAATGACTTGTCGGGTTGCCCCTCCGGTTTTTAGGTTTAATCGGATTTCGGATAATTCAATACATAGAAATTCGCAATTCTCCTTGAAAATTGAATCCGGTGGAGTCATGCATGAGCCGATAACNTCATTAATTGATAGTTAATTTTGTTTGTGAAAAACGGACTGAATTTATGGTCCAATGATATGAGCCCAATATTATTAAATGATCTATTTTGATGAGTTTATGTACATCTTTTAATTGATGTGGTTGAGACGGTTACGTGTATGCCTTAATTTAATTATAGTTCGTAATGGGAGAGCCTTTTAGATTGCATTATAAATAGCAGATTAGGTCTCCTCTCCACTTCATAACCCTAATTTGGCTTGTCCTATTGAGAACCGCCTATTATTTTGAAGAAAGAGAGGAAGACCTTACCTTTTCACGAAAGAAATTCGGAAATCCAATATCAGAACTCATATAGATATATTCTAAATCTTGTATATGATCTAAATCTTGAATTTAGGAGTTCTAAATTTTATACATGAATCATTAAAATTTCTTACATATTATAATTCTAAATAGTTAATATTTGAGATGGGCTAAATAAATTTAGGAGTCAAAATCCAATCAAATACATATTCCAAAAAGAGCCTAAATTAAAATTTAAAAATAGGATCGTTAATTGAGCCGAACTTTACAAGTTCGAGCCGAACTTATCGGCTTGCTTTTTTAAAGTAACCTAAACAATGATTAATTTTGACTTGTTTAAAAAATGAGTCAAGCCTAAATTAAATCGATCTTTTCGAGCTTGATTATTTTACACAATGTAAATGATCCAAATTTTGAGAAATCGATCTAAATCTTTTAGACTCATTTTCTAAAAGATCTTAGACCACGTTAAATTTTTTGTAAATTAACTTTGAATAGTTTGGCTCAATTATTAATTTTATTTAAAGGTACAGTTATTTCTCTCTTCTCTTAATAAATATTGTGCTCCTTTTAAGAAAAATTTCAAACATCACCATCACCATCACTTCAAAGTCAACAAGTTCACCTCCTCCTCCCCCGGGTGCGGGCCGCCTTCCCCCTCCTTTGTCTCTCTATGTCTATACATCCCACAGAAATGAAACAAAATCTCTCTCTCTCTCTCTCTCTCCAGATCAGAATACCTACTACACAAAAACAACAAAATAAATAAATTACCCATGCATTTATCTGTTCTCTTGCCATACGTTGTCGTTGGATTGAAAAGGTATTGAAGTTTTTTAACTAAGAGGTTTATTAATTTTTTTTATTCTAATTCAGTTTATTATCTATTTTGAAGGTTAGAGCTATTAGACAATTTGAAAGACAGACAAAGAGTTGTATAAAAACTCCTATTTATCAGATGCTATTGTTCCATTGTTATTGTACTTAGTAATAAAGTAGATTGTTAGATATAAATTTTTAGACTTTGAGTGTTGTTTTATTGAAATTAATAAAATCCTACTTATCATCAATTATGTTATAAGAATGATTAAGTGGATTAATCCTATTATCTATTAAAAATAATATCTTTGCAAAACTTGAATGTAAAAGCTTAATCACTAAATTTACATCACAACAAGGTGGAAATTATTATTTTTTAGTAAAATTTTGATCATACAATATATACTTTTAATAAATTTTAAACAAACCCGTTTAAAACTTCCGTTTGGGCCCTCCATTATATCAAGCCGACAATCTACTAATTGCTCAACGAAAGCCAGAAGAAAAGTTGCAACAAATTCCCCTTGACTTAGGGAAATCGAGATTTCTTATTAGATATACATCCTACGTGTATATATGTACAGTCTAGTCCTCCTAATGCTTCACCTCAATTGGACCTAAACCCCTGGCACGGGGCCGGGAGAGGTGGCCAACATATTCATAGGTATTAAATGTGGCTAGCTTAGAGTATCTCCAACCATGACTTAAATTTAGATTCAAATTTAAATTTAAATTTAAATAAAAAGTTTAATTTGGTATAGAGTACTCTAATGGACTTGGAACGTTTATTTATCCAAAAGATGCGTTGCAAGTTTTAGTTGGGTATTAGTCTTTCTAAGATTATGAAATATTGTCGACAACTAATTTTTTTAATACCCTTTACTTCTTAATATCCGTTACTAAGAGGAATCTTGTACATTGGGTATGACAGTTTGAGCAGCTAGTTAAGCCTGCTAGCTTGTTTAATTAATTTCAAAGAATCTTTCTTCCTCTTTTTGGCTATTTGAATGTCTTCATCAGTGTACAAAAAGAAAATCTCTTTACAAGCACCAAGCAAACAAAATTCACAAGGAAGTAGCAATATTTATTTCCACAATAGACAATATAACTATCAATAAGTATATATTAACACAAAACCTGTTCAATTAAATCTTGTGAGCTAACAAATGTACCATGAAAACCATAGGGCACTCTAGTGGGTAACCTCACTGAGGCCACTTGCTTCATATTGGAAGCTTTCACTATCACCAACTCAGACATCTCTCTCCTCTCATCTCTCACAAAACTCATAACATATCCTTCATCTTCTTCCCCTTCTCCTCCTCCTTTTTTCTTGTCGGGCACGAAGCATGGCTCGCCGCCAAACTTTTGGTCACCATACAAAAATTTGGTCACTTCTCTAGTAACCAAATCGACCTTTGCGATGCCACTACACCTCGGCCAAGGCTCAGCTATGGCCATGTACACGTATCGGGTCTTTCGCCCAAGTCTTCGCTTGTTCACCTGCCCGGCTTCAAGGTTCATGCCGGAGACAATGACTTGTCGGGTTGCCCCTCCGGTTTTTAGGTTTAATCGGATTTCGGATAATTCAATACATATAAATTCGCAATTCTCCTTGAAAATTGAATCCGGTGGAGTCATGCATGAGCCGATAACAACGATGGTAAGATCACCATCCTCATTATATTCCTCCCATGCATTCCATAAATGAAAGCAAAAGCAATTTGGTATGTCAATCCATTGAATCGAAGATTCATCGGTATCGTTGTTACCCAAAACTCCAAACCGGGACACTTTATTCGGATCATGGATCACGGGTGACCCACCTCGGATCATCTCGGATAACTTGAATACCACTTGGTGATCCGGAATGATCACATGGTTTTCCGTTATGGCANAAACCGGGACACTTTATTCGGATCATGGATCACGGGTGACCCACCTCGGATCATCTCCGATAACTTGAATACCACTTGGTGATCCGGAATGATCACATGGTTTTCCGTTATGGCANCAATGATTAATTTTGACTTGTTTAAAAAATGAGTCAAGCCTAAATTAAATCGATCTTTTCGAGCTTGATTATTTTACACAATGTAAATGATCCAAATTTTGAGAAATCGATCTAAATCTTTTAGACTCATTTTCTAAAAGATCTTAGACCACGTTAAATTTTTTGTAAATTAACTTTGAATAGTTTGGCTCAATTATTAATTTTATTTAAAGGTACAGTTATTTCTCTCTTCTCTTAATAAATATTGTGCTCCTTTTAAGAAAAATTTCAAACATCACCATCACCATCACTTCAAAGTCAACAAGTTCACCTCCTCCTCCCCCGGGTGCGGGCCGCCTTCCCCCTCCTTTGTCTCTCTATGTCTATACATCCCACAGAAATGAAACAAAATCTCTCTCTCTCTCTCTCTCTCCAGATCAGAATACCTACTACACAAAAACAACAAAATAAATAAATTACCCATGCATTTATCTGTTCTCTTGCCATACGTTGTCGTTGGATTGAAAAGGTATTGAAGTTTTTTAACTAAGAGGTTTATTAATTTTTTTTATTCTAATTCAGTTTATTATCTATTTTGAAGGTTAGAGCTATTAGACAATTTGAAAGACAGACAAAGAGTTGTATAAAAACTCCTATTTATCAGATGCTATTGTTCCATTGTTATTGTACTTAGTAATAAAGTAGATTGTTAGATATAAATTTTTAGACTTTGAGTGTTGTTTTATTGAAATTAATAAAATCCTACTTATCATCAATTATGTTATAAGAATGATTAAGTGGATTAATCCTATTATCTATTAAAAATAATATCTTTGCAAAACTTGAATGTAAAAGCTTAATCACTAAATTTACATCACAACAAGGTGGAAATTATTATTTTTTAGTAAAATTTTGATCATACAATATATACTTTTAATAAATTTTAAACAAACCCGTTTAAAACTTCCGTTTGGGCCCTCCATTATATCAAGCCGACAATCTACTAATTGCTCAACGAAAGCCAGAAGAAAAGTTGCAACAAATTCCCCTTGACTTAGGGAAATCGAGATTTCTTATTAGATATACATCCTACGTGTATATATGTACAGTCTAGTCCTCCTAATGCTTCACCTCAATTGGACCTAAACCCCTGGCACGGGGCCGGGAGAGGTGGCCAACATATTCATAGGTATTAAATGTGGCTAGCTTAGAGTATCTCCAACCATGACTTAAATTTAGATTCAAATTTAAATTTAAATTTAAATAAAAAGTTTGATTTGGTATAGAGTACTCTAATGGACTTGGAACGTTTATTTATCCAAAAGATGCGTTGCAAGTTTTAGTTGGGTATTAGTCTTTCTAAGATTATGAAATATTGTCGACAACTAATTTTTTTAATACCCTTTACTTCTTAATATCCGTTACTAAGAGGAATCTTGTACATTGGGTATGACAGTTTGAGCAGCTAGTTAAGCCTGCTAGCTTGTTTAATTAATTTCAAAGAATCTTTCTTCCTCTTTTTGGCTATTTGAATGTCTTCATCAGTGTACAAAAAGAAAATCTCTTTACAAGCACCAAGCAAACAAAATTCACAAGGAAGTAGCAATATTTATTTCCACAATAGACAATATAACTATCAATAAGTATATATTAACACAAAACCTGTTCAATTAAATCTTGTGAGCTAACAAATGTACCATGAAAACCATAGGGCACTCTAGTGGGTAACCTCACTGAGGCCACTTGCTTCATATTGGAAGCTTTCACTATCACCAACTCAGACATCTCTCTCCTCTCATCTCTCACAAAACTCATAACATATCCTTCATCTTCTTCCCCTTCTCCTCCTCCTTTTTTCTTGTCGGGCACGAAGCATGGCTCGCCGCCAAACTTTTGGTCACCATACAAAAATTTGGTCACTTCTCTAGTAACCAAATCGACCTTTGCGATGCCACTACACCTCGGCCAAGGCTCAGCTATGGCCATGTACACGTATCGGGTCTTTCGCCCAAGTCTTCGCTTGTTCACCTGCCCGGCTTCAAGGTTCATGCCGGAGACAATGACTTGTCGGGTTGCCCCTCCGGTTTTTAGGTTTAATCGGATTTCGGATAATTCAATACATAGAAATTCGCAATTCTCCTTGAAAATTGAATCCGGTGGAGTCATGCATGAGCCGATAACAACGATGGTAAGATCACCATCCTCATTATATTCCTCCCATGCATTCCATAAATGAAAGCAAAAGCAATTTGGTATGTCAATCCATTGAATCGAAGATTCATCGGTATCGTTGTTACCCAAAACTCCAAACCGGGACACTTTATTCGGATCATGGATCACGGGTGACCCACCTCGGATCATCTCCGATAACTTGAATACCACTTGGTGATCCGGAATGATCACATGGTTTTCCGTTATGGCAAAGTCATGAATCATTGTTGGTTGTTGGAGGGAAATAGATATATCACGTGACTTATTACCACAAGTGTCAAACTTGAAGAATTTAAGGTAAGGTCTTTTCACAACGTTGTAGCTCATTGTATAAAGTTTCCCTGTGGTGGGGTCCACCTTAGGGTGAGCGATCAACGGACAACCAATTTGATCATTGAAGTTGAACCGTTCGATCGTTTCCAGATCCCCATCGTCCGTGATGCGGACATTGTACGGAAGATCATCCTCCGACATGGCAAGTAAACGGCCGTTAAAATAAACCAAACCGGCGTTAGCCACGCCGGTGCCATGAGATAGATCGAGTAAGCCGATCATGGCACGAGCATAGAACAAAACGAGCCGAGCCAAACCCGAGTGGCCATATAACTCGCCAATCGGTTTGGGAAAAAGCGGCCTTCCTAATGCGGCTTCTTGGACGAACCGGCTGGTTCTAGTGAATCGGCAAGAATAGCTGGCTTGGTTTCCGGCAGCCAATGTAACGGCGTGAATCATGCCGTCTCCGTCAAATAGGTGGTAGCCATTGCCTGGTGGAAACATTGGGTTGGCCCCATTTCTGACGTAGACCCCACGGAGACTTCCCGGAATCTGACCCACCACTTCAAGGCCGTGCTGAACCGGGCACTCTTTAACCGGTGCGAAATTGCCCTCTAGCTGAACCTCCGGGTCAATTGTCCGGTTGCGCTTATGTGTCTTTTCTAATTCCATGATAAATTTCTTCTCCAGCATGTCCAAAGCTGAGGCTGCTAGTTTTTGAATTGGGTTGAGCTCTGAAGTGTGTGTTGGTTTCGGTGGCGGCGACAGCGGTGGCGGTGGCGGTGGCGGTGGCGGTGATGGTTTTGTAAATTTAGGGGGAGGTGTTGTTCTCTTTGATGGGTTGATGAGAATTTTGCATGTAAAAGATGGTGAGTTGGTGTAATCATTTACTCTTTGTGTGTGTAGTTTGGGCTGAGTTTGAAGTCTACAGGGGGTTTGGGTGGTGTGGAGATGGAGTGAGACTTGCATGGTAGACGGTGGCCGACTGGCAGTATTTTTGTGTGTGTTTGAGAGAGAGAGAGAGAGAGAGAGAGAATGGATGAGAAAAACAGTAGGGTCCCTTGTGTTTATATAAAGGTGAAAAAGTGCACAAAAGTGGGGCTATGGAAGAAATCCAGCTGGAATGAAGACTAAACACAGGACACGTATGCGTTTTTTGGACACGTATGAGTTGAGCTTGCTGCTCCCCTCGCTGGCTAATTTTTTGTTAGCAGATATGATCGGTGTTGGTTTTGCTAAGAACTCTTCTAGCTTCTCTTTTTCCTTTTCGATGTACTCAAAAAAAACACTCAGACACGTATGAGTTGAGAGCATAGTACAGTTGAATCCTCTGCAATTCGATAGTTTAAAATTGAAAACAAAAAAAATAAAAAAATAAAAGATATAAGAGTAAGAAAGAATTAGAATAGACATGATTAAAACACGTGAGAGAGAGAATCATAGAGGGTGAAAGGTTTTATACATTAAGTAACATACCAATTAACTCCTTAACAAAGTGAGAGGATCTGTTTAATTTGGTAGGTTTTAAAGGATTTGGATCCTTTATTTATTTTTTAAACTAATTCTTATTTTTTTCTAAGTAGGGTCACATGACATTCAATCAAATGAGATCTATTTTATATAATAAAGGACCTGCATACACGAATACAAATAAAAAAAAAAAAAATTTAAGAGTAGGAAGGTATTAGAATTAGACACGATTAAAAAACGTGAGAAAGAGTCACAGAGGATGAGAGGTTTTATTGTATTAATCATGTGGTCAAGTTTAAATAATCAATATTTTGAACAACTTAATCAAAAGTACCAGCCCCAATGACACTAAAATGAATGAGGGGGTGGTAGCACGAGTCTAGGTCATGCTTGTGGGTGAAAATTGGGCAATTATTTTGATATAGCACAAATTTCNTAGAGGATGAGAGGTTTTATTGTATTAATCATGTGGTCAAGTTTAAATAATCAATATATTGAACAACTTAATCAAAAGTACCAGCCCCAATGACACTAAAATGAATGAGGGGGTGGTAGCACGAATCTAGGTCATGCTTGTGGGTGAAAATTGGGCAATTATTTTGATATAGCACAAATTTCATAAGAATTGAATACACAATGGAGAGAATGTGAAACCATGCATGTTCCAATTTATTGAGATTAGATTTATGATTTTTTTTAAAAAAAGTATAAGAAATTTGATGGGTCATAAAAATCGATAACAATTGGTCTACGTCTCAAGGTTGACCCATCTGATAAGATTTTATAGGAGTGAAAATTATATTTGTATTTCTAAAGATTTAATTTTAATTCCAATATACTTTCCTAACTAATGTAGAAATACAATTAATATGTCATTGAAAATTTTCTATTTAGTTAATAAATAAACTTTGTAGGTTTTAACATTTAATTCTAGACTTCATTGAGGGTAACCGTTAGATCATAATCTAGCGGCTCACATAAAAAGTATTCACGAAAGACGATGGTGTAGAATTTCTATAATTGTACTATTATAATATATATATATATATATATTTCTTATCAATACAAAATTTATGATTTATTATTGAGAAATTTTTTTTAAAAAACCTTTTAAATGATATTTTTTCCTTTTAAGTGTAATGGTGTCCATAACTGTATGATTCTCATTATGTCTGTATTTCAATCGCAATTATTAATTTACTATCTGAATTATGATCCAAATTCAAAGACTTCTGTCTCTCTCTTGGGACAAGTATCTCATCAAATTGAGTCACCAAACTCCCATTAATTGCCATAATATTCACAATACAGAGACAAACATACTAGTATACCACTATAAATAAATCATCTAATGAAATATAATTACGAAACTTCCTTTAGCTGCTAGAGTTATTGGTGGCAATTCTTAATATTAGTTAATTCAATATGAAATTGACACAAAATTATCGAATATTAGTGTTTTGCGGGTTAAGACTATGACCAAACTGACCAACTATTCATTTTATAAAAGTATTGATATGAACTTAATACAATACGATATTTTAAAAAAATTTGAGTATAAGTCAAATTAATTTGATATATTTGCCAAAGAGATGAAGTTATGAATCGTCAGCCAGCTAAAAGTGAGAAAGAGAGAGAGAGAGATGCTATATGACCTGTTTGGTTCGTGGATTTAACAAGGCATAGCCAAAATTTATTCACTTCTAGATTTTCAGTTCATCTCGCATCGTCAATTCTACTTAACATTATGAAGTCCATATTAAATTACTGATTATTGTTTTAATCATTACAAGTTTAGGTTATAATAGGATTGACTTGTCAAATTTAATTTTTAAAAATTAATCGACATGAATCTGATTATATGTGATACAAATCTATCCATATACATGATATATATAATATTAATCGGGCAAGATATTGATTCCAAAGAAACAATATGGTACCAAAATTTCACCATACCCAAAAAAAAAAAACCCAAAAAAATATTAAGTTCTACCACCAAAATAGTAATAAGTAATTCAAAAAATTGTTTAGTGGATAAAAAAAAATGAATGCATTTAAAAAATTAATAAGCTTCACCCAAAATATAATACAAATACAAAAGATGTTTCTCTCTATCATATTCGCGTTGCCTAGAGCCAAAAGATTAGGGGCAGAGCAAGACATTTTTCTCAGTGGGGGCAACAATTAAAATTCTAAATGTTCACAAAAGTATAATTTTGTTAATAGAACACCAATTAAAGGCCAACTCAAATTGATGTCGAGCAGCGTGAATAAAGGAACGAGATAAACAATATAAGGTATAACCTATTAATTATCGCAATAATACTATATTAGAGCCTTCAAGACTCTTGTTGATTCCGCATAATACTAAGGCAATTATGAAGAAAAGAGAACTCGTCTCGTTTTATTCAATCAAAATCAAGTTGTTGAATCAGTTTTATATACACTTTAAATACTAAACCCTAGCAGTCCTAAATTACTAGGAAATCCTCTAGCAATTGCGAAATATTAAATAAATACCCCAAATAGCGNGCATTACAAGTTTAGGTTATAATAGGATTGACTTGTCAAATTTAATTTTTTAAAATTAATCGACATGAATCTGATTATATGTGATACAAATCTATCCATATACATGATATATATAATATTAATCGGGCAAGATATTGATTCCAAAGAAACAATATGGTACCAAAATTTCACCATACCCAAAAAAAAAAAACCCAAAAAAAATATTAAGTTCTACCACCAAAATAGTAATAAGTAATTCAAAAAATTGTTTAGTGGATAAAAAAAAATGAATGCATTTAAAAAATTAATAAGCTTCACCCAAAATATAATACAAATACAAAAGATGTTTCTCTCTATCATATTCGCGTTGCCTAGAGCCAAAAGATTAGGGGCAGAGCAAGACATTTTTCTCAGTGGGGGCAACAATTAAAATTCTAAATGTTCACAAAAGTATAATTTTGTTAATAGAACACCAATTAAAGGCCAACTCAAATTGATGTCGAGCAGCGTGAATAAAGGAACGAGATAAACAATATAAGGTATAACCTATTAATTATCGCAATAATACTATATTAGAGCCTTCAAGACTCTTGTTGATTCCGCATAATACTAAGGCAATTATGAAGAAAAGAGAACTCGTCTCGTTTTATTCAATCAAAATCAAGTTGTTGAATCAGTTTTATATACACTTTAAATACTAAACCCTAGCAGTCCTAAATTACTAGGAAATCCTCTAGCAATTGCGAAATATTAAATAAATACCCCAAATAGCGGGATAAAATATAAAAGTGCTTAAAAAGTGGCATAAATGTAGTTTTTGGCTTAAAAACGACGAGTTGAAAAATATATTTCAATCTTGCTCAAATCATAAAGAACTTTCTGAAATTGGGTCATAATAAAATTTTTGACACTGTAGCCCAAAATCAATTCAGACGAGTACCCAATCAGCACTGTTTTTGGCAGTCTTGATTTGTCATGTAGTCTTCTGCTAAACGTGCTACANAAGTGGATAAAAAAAAATGAATGCATTTAAAAAATTAATAAGCTTCACCCAAAATATAATACAAATACAAAAGAGGTTTCTCTCTATCATATTCGCGTTGCCTAGAGCCAAAAGATTAGGGGTAGAGCAAGACATTTTTCTCAGTGGGGGCAACAATTAAAATTCTAAATGTTCACAAAAATATAATTTTGTTAATAGAACACCAATTAAAGGCCAACTCAAATTGATGCCGAGCAGCGTGAATAAAGGAACGAGATAAACAATATAAGGTATAACCTATTAATTATCGCAATAATACTATATTAGAGCCTTCAAGACTCTTGTTGATTCCGCATAATACTAAGGCAATTATGAAGAAAAGAGAACTCGTCTCGTTTTATTCAATCAAAATCAAGTTGTTGAATCAGTTTTATATACACTTTAAATACTAAACCCTAGCAGTCCTAAATTACTAGGAAATCCTCTAGCAATTACGAAATATTAAATAAATACCCCAAATAGCGGGATAAAATATAAAAGTGCTTAAAAAGTGGCCTAAATGTAGTTTTTGGCTTAAAAACGACGAGTTGAAAAATATATTTCAATCTTGCTCAAATCATAAAGAACTTTCCGAAATTGGGTCATAATAAAATTTTTGACACTGTAGCCCAAAATCAATTCAGACGAGTACCCAATCAGCACTGTTTTTGGCAGTCTTGATTTGTCATGTAGTCTTCTGCTAAACGTGCTACATCACATATACATGAGCAAAAAAAAAATCGCTATAAATTTATCTAGAAGATCTAACAAAAAAAATTTTGAAATAAAAAATTGGGCTCAATCATATATTGAGTCTATACATGGGAGAATTCAAATTATCGAGCATCCTATAAATATTCACAGTTGTTTTCAATGATTTTTCATATTTTGAAAGCGTTATATGATAATTTCATTATCAATGGTACTTAAAATTTATTTTTCAACAGATGCAACTAAACAATCG